GTGTATATGATAACTTCATTTATCAAAACATTTACTATAATCATTTGCTAGTTAGCAGATAGCATTTTCAACAAAAACCGAATCTTAATTTTGACCATTTACAATTTAGTTTGTTGCTTCTTGTGCTTAGACTTTGTACTTAACTAAATTATTCTTTTATATTCTACTCAACAGGAGCGCCTGATCGAGCGATTTGGCAGTGAAGCGCTTCCATTCAAGTTCGAGATGCCGCATGACGTTCCTTCGTCTATTGTGCTGCAATTAGGTTCCTCGGCTGAATCAATCAACTCACAACCTTGTGGAATTGAATATTCTCTTCAGGTGCGTGTTCAGACCATGAAAAGGACAAAAATAGACGAAGGATGTTTCATTCCTGCCAGAAAAATAGGAGATCATACTGGTTCAGCTGAAGTTGTTTTTGTATCACTGCAGTGTTTATGATTATGAGACTGGATGAGGCTAACCTGTAGGGTAGCCCTGTTAAATTTCAAGTCCAAAAACTGACCTATGAACATATACTAATCCTGATTAGCTTATATGAATTCTGGCCAATAGTCCACAGTAACAATAGCTGTTGCCAGCCCCAAGTACTACAAACGGCCGCCATATTTTCCTTATATATACTTATCAAATCGTCGCATACTTAAGTGCTTCACTCACCAACTTATTCACTCACTTACCCATTCACATAGGCCGCTTATAAGCTTCAGTCAGGCATGGCGTCTGGTAACTTGACCGAATAAGAGCCCGTATGGAATAAGGAAGTACAAAGTTGCAATGCATGCTTGCTGAACTCACACTTAGCCTTTTAGGTGGTTTGGAAGACATGGTAAGTGAATGATTGAAGAATGCACATCTTAGCTTTAATTTAGTTAGGTCCCTAGTCTGCTGTCGTTCTTCTGTGGATTCTAACAGTCCATGAAGATGAACAAAATATAATTTTTATGGGTCGTATATGCGAGAAGCCTATTCTCCACTGACATCCGATTATATAAACATCGTCTGAACAGAGACATAGGATAAACTTAAGGCAAAATGCGTAATATTTATATGTTCTTGGATTTGTAGAAAGAAGTAGGGGATTTTACTGAACAGGAAAATCACAAGGTAAAAGTAACTTAAACTGAGCAAAGAATGTGGTGGCCTAATATTAGTCATACCACTTACTGCCAGCTATTAAAAGCTCGACGAAAAAGCCTAGACAAATAGAGTGATACCTTAAGAATATTTTCTATATATCTTATAAAGTGTTTCTCTTAAAATTTTCTTTAGTGAAATAGAGCTATAGAGCTAGTTAATTAGAAGTACTGGATCATAAGGATTCATTTAAATAATTTACGCACAATTCTTTGAAGCAACAAAAAAATGAGGTGTTATTATTAAAAATTAATAGTTATTAATGATGTTAGTAAAATAATCTATGCCAGTAAGATGGTCAATGTAGGCTGCTTTAGTGCCTCAATGACTGACTGAAATACAAAATACACTTTTCAACTAATTCTATCGCAGCTTGTTTCCAAAAAGGCTTTCCCCTGCTGGATGACCAGCAGTCGAGATTTTTCACATTTCTACTTAATTCGCTTAGGCTTTCGAAATCGGGTTAATGGTGTTGCTTAGCAAAAAAGTTGTCGACCACTCGTGTTGCTAGAGCGCTATTGGGCCAATGAGTATTTGTGGCTTTCGAGTCAGATCATGCAATTAACCATTTTCTGTGAAACACTGCAAAGACTCCATGAATGATTCGGATCTTAAACTTTCTCGACGTTTAGGACGGCAGCAGAAACAAAGCTGAAAAATTGTAATCGGAACCGAGTAATTAGCGACACAACCAGGCGCCCCTGTACACAGTCATTGTGCAGTGGGGGAAATCAGATTATTTTTGCCTTAAACCTATTTCAGTTTATACTCAAGGGAAATGATCCTAAGTACAGAATGTGGCCTAAATGTCACTAACGCATATCAAAAAATATTGTTACTTACTTGACAAAAATATACTGTCAAATGTCATTGAATCAATTGGTTAAAAAGCTGCAGTCTTTTCAAAAATCAGTGGAAAACTCTACTTTTATAAATAAAAGCAGGGCAGGTCGATTGAATAGGCCCTGCATTGGTATGCACAGAAAACCGGGAAACCAGGAATCATAAGTAAGCTTTGATGTGTATTCAACCTATTTTCGTATTTGAGTAGAGTTTCGAGACTACTAGTAAATTAGTAATATGAGAGGTATTCACCCTATTTCGTTTAAGGTGATGAAGGACTGGTAGTTGAATTTTCCCACAATGATATGAGTAGAGCT